TCCCTTTCTCCCTCTCATGTTCACTTTCATTGTCACTCCAGATTTTTTCTCCCCAGCTCTCTCAATCTCTCTTCCTTTGCCAAAGTTTGCACGAAATTCCTTTTATTTTCTGCTGAACATTTTATGTGAAAATGGTTGAGGAGCTGGAAACGCAGGGTGGGAAGGCAACTTTAGGAAATGGCTGCACAGTTCAAGCAGGTCTTGAGCTGTTCAAATTCTGACTCTTTAGAGAGAAGAGATCTTGATGAGTACTCAAAACATCTGGAAGTGAACCCAGAAAATAGTCTTCGTTGGTAGGGTTAAAAACCATCAAAATTCTTAGAATCAGCCAAGGAACAACTAACTTGATCTTGTCTTGTTACTGTCAAGAAAAAAGTACAACAAGATGCTTTTGTTCTTGCATTTTCTTTTTTCTTTTTGTTGACTTCTTATGTGACCCAAAATGCCCTTCAATTCTTGACATAGCTGAAGATGGCCTTATTGGCCTTCTGATACCCCTGTCTCCCATCTCCCAAGTACTGACATTACAGTCATCTACCATGCCTGGTTTCTTACAGTGCTGGGGATAAACCCAGGGCTTTTGAGTCCCAGAAAACAATCTGTAATCAAATCTACACGACTAGCCTCAAGTTCAATGATCCTTAGTGGATGACAACAAACTGCAGCTTCTTTACTATGATATATTTAGGCCATTCGGGATCTCATAAATATTATGAGAGCATTTATAAAATGCAGGAAAATACCTAGTTAAAAAACATATTTTGGAATTTGCCCACAAGTGCAATAAAATAGGAAGCTAAAGTTTCTGCTCTGACTTGAAATTATATGAGGTAAAGACTTTTGCAGATACAATTAAAGAAAATTTAGCCAATTGACCCAAAGATAGATTATCCAGTGAATTTACTGAAACCCCAAATTCCCTCAAAAGAAAAGCCTTTTCTTTTTCAAGAAAAGGCAAACTGTGTAGCATGACAGAAGCTTCACCCAAAGGAGACTCTATCCTTTTAAGAAAGAGGGACATATTCCAGGACCTTAGAGTGGTCCCAGGCACTTTGTGTCCCTTGGAAGGTGGCCAGAAAGAAGGCAGGAACATCAGTCCTACCATTTCAAGGATACAACATCTACTAACAATTTAGAGAAAGGTGGAAGGGATTCTTTCCCCCAAAGTCTTCAGATAATAGCTTGCTAGCTGATACCTGCAGCCTTGTGATACTAAGAAGGAAATCTGGATCTGATTATACTACGCTTGGCATAGAGTACAGTGAGGTAAAATATTGTTGGTTTATACTATTAAATCTTTTGTGTTTTAAACACAACAATAGAAAACTAATTTTAAAACATATTTTAAAACATTGAACACTTTGTGGGGCCGTGAGATTATTCATCTGGTAACAGTGTTTGCCTCCTGAACATCTGGATTCCGCTCCAGGAACCACTTGGTGGAGGGAGTAAGTCATTGTCCTCTGACTTTCATGGATTTGACTTTATTATAAATGTTGTAATAATTTTATCAAAGGTTCAACAATTTGAAAAAGACATACATATGGTGAGATAAACAAAAATACTTAAAAAAACAAACGAATGAATGTCTAGGGATGAAAAACACAAGAGAAAATACAGTATCCTTGATCCATGCATAGCAGGTATACAATGTGAGGATAATGGTCTAGAATTTTCTTAGAACACAAATCAAAATAAACAAGCCCCTCCCACCATATTACTCTCTAAAACATATCTTAATACTTTTTAAAGGATGAAACCCATTTGAAAGTAATGAAATTAAAATATAATCAATAAAAAGTGTTATAACGAAAATGAACCTATTTTAAAACTTAAATAGGACAAAACAACCCTCTCCAAACCCAAGAGACATACAAAAGAAACACAAAGAAGAAAGCATTTTATAATACTGAAAACAAAAGCGTGTTTTGTAGGTTTGTGGAAATGTGACCAATAGATCTGAGGGAGATATTGGCAGCTAAATCTTTACATTGGGAAAAAATAAATTATCATCAAAACTGTACATTAAAGCATTGAAAGATTGAAAAATGGTCGAAACTCCCAGGAGGTAAAGAAAAAAAAAAAGCTGAATAAGGAGCATGACAAAGCAGAGTCTGAGACATAACACAGTTAACCTGAAATGCCAGGAGCTGGTCTGGGAAACTGACTCTGTGACTATACAGATGGAGAGCAACAAGAGATGGGGTGGGGAGTACAGCGATTTCCAGTATAAACAGAGAGAGCATGTCTTGACCTTAGACATTAAAAAATTATGTGAATGATTTCACGTCCAAAAATAAGTAACAGAAGAAAATGTTCAACTTTACTGAAAGTCCCACTTAACCGATTCTGACTCAAAGAGAAAAGGAAAACTCTGAGAAAGATTTATGTCTTTCACGTTTATTTTATGACCATCAGTTTTCAAAATGTTCCCTCTGGCAGGTGGTAGGAGTAGAAATTAACTGGCAAAGGGCACAAGAGATCTTATTAAAGGTACAGAAACATTCTAAAACTGATTTATAGTAATGGATGCACAACTTAGTAAAGTTAGTAGAAATTATTAAATTGTACACTTGAAATGGATGGTTTTCATAACTAAAATGTATCTCAATAAAGCTGTTTAAAATAAGATATATGAAATAATATGTTTTAAAAATACTTCCCTGAGGGAAAATTCCAAATCCAGATGATATAATCAAACATTTTGCAGAGAAGCATCAATTTTTTACAAGCGTTTTCAAAACATGAAATAGACAATAGTAGCAATGTAAAGAAATTAATAGTAAATGTAATCTGATGATATTGTATATAAATAATGTTATAGTTCCACACAAATATACACATTGAGAATAAGAATATATATGCCTACCAAAGATTATATACACATGAAATAGGTATATAAGAAGATGCTAAAAATTATTTACCAAGAATAACTAAATTCAAACCACAATGAAATACTACTACCATTTAGAGTAATTCAAATTGAAACTGTTCAACACTGCAAGTGTTGGCCAGTGTTGCAAGAACCAGTACTTTTGTACATTGCTCAACAGATTATGATATGACATGACCACGTAGACATCTCTATCAACCTATTTTAAAAGTATTCATTCACCTGTCATACAATTCAATAGACATCTGTCAACAGCATTCTGTCAGTGCTATTCTAAAGCCTAAAAAGATTGATCTAGCCATACAATTAAACAATCAACTACAGTCATTGACAATTAGTCAATGTGCAAAAAATAAGAGACTACAAAATGCTCATCAATAAAAGGAAGTGTGTATACCATACCCACTACTCCTGAGACTGAGAAAGAATGTGAGAACCAGAGGCTTTGGGTGACTACAGAAAATGTTTTCTAGGTGCAACAAGGCAACTGCACATATAAACTCACAGAAGCAGGAACACACCTAAGATCTGTTCAAGTTTAAGCCAGGTCAAATCTCAACATGGAGCAGGGAAGTGGAATAAAGTTCCACCCCTGAGGTGCTCTTGTCAATTGATATTGCTGGAACAGGGACAATCAGTTTTCTTTAAGAGTATAGCCCTTTGTTAAGTCAACCATCGCTCTCCAGTAGACAAGGTACATATCCAAGAATGTATGGAATGTATAAATTGCACATGATAGATGAAAAAGAAAAGACACAACACTGAGAAGATATGGAAGGAAATATGGATCAGGGAGGAATTGGGAAGGAGTAAATAAAACAAAAGTTATCAAATGGTTCTACTATTAAATTTTCCTGGGGAATCTGTTACTTTTTAAACATAATGATTTATTATTACAGATGGATAGATAGATAGATAGATAGATAGATAGATAGATAGATAGATAGATAGATAGATAGATA